AATAATATATATATATAATAATATAATATGTATATATATATATATATATATATATATATACACACACACACTTCATCGAACAGCTTTTTTACCCCCAAAAGGGAGAAGTATCAGAAATTCAATGCTATCTACTAGGGATTTTGCTATTGCTATGGATTTTACATGGAAGGTATTCAGATACCACAGTGTAGAAAACTGTAAGATAGATTGATGAAAAGGCCCAGCAGTCTCCCAGAAATAGTTAGAAACCAATTTATCTATAGGCACAAGCTCACCTTTAGAGCTTGTAGAACACTTCTTTGATCAGAAAATATTTCATTGATAATGAAATTCTCATCTGGAAAATATTGTTTTCAATGAAATATTTATTTTTTCAAAAAAATTTGAAAATCGAAAAAAATTAAGGAAACACCCTTTTTTTTTTTTTTTGAAACTGTGGGATCAGTTATAATGCTATAAACTCATGTGAAAGACCCGAGTCTTCATTTTTGCAGCGACAGGCAGTGAGATAATAAATTATGTCATAGAATATTCCTTTTTTTGGGCCCAAAGGAACTAAGAATTTAAGCACATACTTAATGTTAAGCATGTGCTTAAGTGCTTTGCCAATTAGGGATGGTTTGCTGAATTGATGCCTTGGTATGTGTATGTTACAAAAAAAACAAACTTACCATTTTCCTCCTGGATGATGTCTGCAAAATTATTTTTATTCTAAATTGGGCAAAAAAGAATATCGAATATCGTTTGAGGAGTGTAACAATTATTGTGAAATATCACAACAGAAAAGCAGAAGAAGTACAACTCCAAGGAAGTACAACATTCATGTCAGCAATGAATTGCCACCATTTAGTTAGTTAGTTGGTTAGTTAGTTAAATTTCATAGCTTAAGATATGAATTAAACCAAGGAATATGCTCAATATCATCAGCCTCTGTTGGTCACATTAATTAATTATTTTAACATTTTAAGGTCACTTTAATTCTGAATGAGGGTGTCCACACAGGGATTTAACGAAGTTTAGCCAATCAACTTCAAATTCACACCTTTATTAATTTGAACCAAGTTTAATGGATGTCCCCATATGCACACGACTTTAAATTGCTGAAGATAATGTAATACCTATTAGCAAAATAAGAAAAAGGCATTTAGACTTGGCTAGAAAGAGGTCATAAGTGACCTTGTTAAGAGCAATTTTGGTGGAACAGGGATCAAGGAGAGAGCAATGGAAGAGAGAAACTTGAGGCAGTGGAAACAGGCAAGATGAACCAAAAATGGACAGGAAATGGTGGAGAGTGATGGGTTAGTTGCTGGAAAAGCAGTTAGGATTGAAAGTTTTTGAGGACAGAGGAGACCACAAGGAAACAGAGGACAACTAGACTGAATATGTGGAAGATGGACTGTACTTGGATTTTCAAAAAGCTTTTGAAAAGGTCCCTCTCCAAAGGCTTTTACAGAAATTAAGTAGAGATGGGAAACAAAGGGTTGTACTAAATGGTCAGTTTTCACAATGGAGAGAGGTAAATTATGGGATAACTGAACGATTTGCACTGGGACCTGTGCTGGTCAACATGTTCATTAATGATCTGGAAAAGGTAGTGAACAGTGAAGTGGCAAAGTTTGCATATGATACAAAATTATTCAGGATAGTTAAGTCCAAAGCAGACTGCAAGGAGTTACAAAGGGATCTCACAAAACTAGTGACTGGGTAACAAAATGGCAGATAAAATACATTGTTGATAAGTTCAAAGTAATTCAAATTGGAAAAAAAAATATATATAATGCTAGATTCTAAATCTAGCTGTTACCAGCCTAGAAAGGTCTCAAAGTCACTGGGGATAGTTATCTGAAAAATTGCATTCAATGCATGGCAGTGGTCAAAAAGGCTAACAGTATGTTAGAAACTATTAGGAAAGGGACAGTAAATAATGTACACAATATCACAGTGCCACTATATAAATTCATGTTGTGCCCATACCATGAATACTGTGTCCAGTTCTGGTTGCTTCATCTCAAAAAGTATATAGTGGAATTAGCAAATATTTAGAGAAAGGCAACAAAGATTTTTAAGGGTTTGGAATGGCTTCCATACAAGGAGAGACTAAAAAGACTTTTGCTTTGTTCATCTTAGAAAAGAGATGACTAAAGGGGGATGTGATAGAGGTCTATAAAATCATCAATAGTGTGGAACAAGTGAACAGAGAATTGTTGTTTACCCTTTCACATAATAATAAATTAAAAGGAGGTCCTCTGATTAACAGGCAGCCAGGATTAATACGAACAAGAGGAAGTACTTTTTCACACAATGTACAACTAACCTGTGGAACTCATTGCAAGGGGATGCTGTGATGGCCAAAATTTTAACTGGATTCAAATAAGTTCATGGAAGATAGGTCCATGAATGGCTATTAGCCAAGATGGTCATGAATCCAACCCCATGCATGGGGCAACCCTAAACCTCTGACTCTCTGCCAAGAAGAGAAGACAGGTGGATCACTACAAAACTACCATATTATGTACACTTCCTCTGAAGCTTTGGTACAGGCCACTGTTGGAGACAGGATACTAGGTAAGATGGACCATGGTCTGATCCAGTATGGCAGCTCTAGTGTTCTTAAGCGAGATTAGTAATTATATTGTCATAGGGTCAAGATGTTAAGGGAGGCACATCTCAAAGTTAATGATCAGGCAAAGAAAAAGAGAGTTAAGTATTGGTGAAAGGTGGAACAAAGGGGACCCACTGGATGCAGAACAGGAAGTAATTTTTGCTCCTACATGGCCATACACCATTTTGGTGATTAACCACTTATTTTGTTAGCCATGTGCTTTATAACAGTTCGAGTGAGCTGGAAGTTTATTGCCAGGAATGTTTCATTATTTTATTGGATGACCTTTACGTCAACTAAGCTGAAAAGTTGCATGGAGCCTTACCCCCCATCCTGCAGTAAATGCACATGTACATTTGTGCACCTATTTCTCCTTGGGGAAGAAATGCCTTATTCTGCAAAGCTCTACTGCAACCTTACTTATGGTGTCAGCCCTGTTCCATCATAGTGCAGCTTTAACCACAAAAATGGTTGGAAAATAGCCTGAGTTAAACGTTTAATAGTGGCTGAAGAAGAAGAAATCATTGCCTGTTGCATTCACCAACAGATGATGTCACTAAGGGCAAATGCTTAGTAGGATTATGATTAGACATATATGGATAATGAGATCATCTGGTTACATTAGATAGAATAAAAATGAATAAATTCACAAGTCAAGCACTAACTGATGGGGGTTAAGCTAATCCATTGTCAGAGACAGGATACTAGAATAGATGAACACCTAGTCTGATCTGGCCTGGAAACTCCTATTCCTATATAATTGGGGAATAAACTAAAAAATAAATCAAGGTCACTACCAAAATCTTTGGGCTTTTTCCTGGCTCAACTAGATTTGGCAGTTGTGGATGGTTCCACAGAATTATCTCCAGAAGTTTTAAACTAAGATTCAGAAATAGACAGGAATGCTCCAAGAATTACTAACAGAAGCTCCAGAATCCAGTGAATTCAATGGAGTGTGAGAAGGAGACCCTCCGACTAAAAGGAATGTTGTTGATTCTCAAGTATCAGGACAGGAACAGATAACACAAGAACTTAAACAACAGCATATAGGAAGTACCGCAGAAAACAGCATTATTTTAAAAGTACTACAGTTCAGACTCACGTTTTTTGTCTTTTCTGTGCCTGTCGTCACTGAGAAAATAGTTTCTCGTCTGTAAATTATTAATACAGATTTATCAACCATAATAGATAGAGGGAAGGTTCAAAAGTCTAACAGCCATAATCCACCTACAAGAGCTAATGAGTATCAGCTGATCTCGTCAGCCCCATGCTTCGTAACAGTACTAGTCAACCATACGTTTATTGCCAGGCATGTTTTATTATTTTATTGGAATACCTTTAACTCAGCTGAGCTGAAAAGCTGTATGTGGCCTTACCGCATACCCTGTAGTAAATGCAAGATACATTTTTGCACCCATTAATCCCTGCAGAAGAAATGCCTTGATCTGCAAAACTTTGCTGCAACTTTACTGTAGGTGTACATAGCTGTCCCTCCCTGTCAGTCTCAGAGGGAAGCCACACCTCCTCCCTGTCATACCCTTAGAGTGGCACTCTATCAAACGGGGAAATTAGCCGTTTGTGGAGTTACGACCCTCTAAGCTGGGCAGAACAGCACTCAGTCTGAGCAGAGCAACAAAGAATCTAGGAGCCAAAGCCTTCGGGCAGGGCAGGGCAGGGCACCAGAAAGTCTAGGGCGCTGGTCTGCAATCAGGGCAGAGCCCAAAGGAGTCTATGAGCCCATTCCCTCAGGCAAGGTGGGACACCAAACACTCATGCGTCCTTCTTGTAATGGACAAATTCAGGCCTCTTGGCCTAAAGATGGGGAGGCTGCCACACCAGGGGTGGGGTGGCTGGGGATAGGTAATGTTCCGCCACTGGGTCAGCCATGAACTACCCACAACACACTGACCTAGAATCAGGCCAAGACTCAACCAGACTGTAGTCTAGCTATCCTGGTCTACTACCTGTGTCCCCTTTGTGTGGTACCTTTGTTTAGTGGGTGTCCTCTGTCTCCTGGGGGCAGGTAGACAGCAGTGGCCCCAGAAGCTCCTTGACATCTTGATTGGCCAGTGTCTCTGGCAAGTCCTCAGTATGGTCAGGATCCTCCTCAGGTTACAGCAGCATGTAAGATGCCTCTGTCTCCCTCAGCAGATCCAGCCCAATTGAGCTGAAGGACCTGTCTTTTATACTTCCCGTTCCTGTCCCACCCGTCTGATTCTGGTGGGCCAGACATCGCCTTCCTGGCTCTGCCCATCAGGGGGTGGGTTGTGGTCCCTCACTGTTAATCTCAAAGGGAGGCCACACCTCCTCACTACACTTACCTATGGTGTCAACACTGTTCCATCATAATATATTTTTAACAATAAAAGCAGTTGGAAAATAGCCTGAGTTTAGCATTTAATAGTGGCTGAAGAAGAGGCAATAATTTCCTTTTGCATTCACCAATACATGATGTCACTAAGACCAAAAAGCTTAGTAGGATTATGATTAGACAATTACATAAGAATAGGAGTTTACATCCCAGATGAGACAAGTTGTTTATTTAGTCCAATATCCTGTCTCTGGCAATTTATTAGCTTCTTCTTAACCCCCATCAGTTAGTGCTTGACTATTATGATGGAACAGTGTTGACACCATAGACAAGGTAACAGCAAAACTTTGCAGAAGACATTTATTCCCCAGGGATAAATGGGTGCCCAAATGTATCAATGCATTTACTGCAGGACTAGGGGGTAAGGCCCCACACTGCTTTTCAGCTTATCTGGTGTAAAGGTTATCCAATAAAATAATGAAACACTCCTGGCAATATACTTCTGGTTTACTGCTATTTTTATAAAGCACAGGAATAACAAAGTAAGTGGTTAAACAACAAAATAGTGTAACAACCATGTGGAAGCAAAACTACTTCCTGTTCTGCATCCAGTGGGGCCCCTTTGTTCCATCTTTTACCAAGTTATCTGGCAGGCTCTGCAGCTGAAGCTAACAGAGTTTCCCAAGTTGCAAATGATATCAAGTAGCTGGAGTGAGCAAACCAGCAGAAGCAATTGTGTCTGACCTTGGTAAGAAAGCAGAGACAGAGGACCATATGGAAACAGCTAGGCTTGGGATTTCTGCAAAAGGCTGTGTGCTGTATGTCCCAACTGCTGTTCAGGGGGAAAATATCTTTGCAAATAAATAATTACAAGAAACTGACTCCGTGACATCGATTTCTCATCCAAATGGAATCATCCCACAAGGCCCTGAATTTCAATTTTCCACTCAACAAAAGGCAACAAAATATTCTTAAATATAAAGAGAAGGCTCTCTTTACATTAGCTATTTACATATGTGTATATATAATAGTTGTTCAGAAAACATATTTTTATCCAATGGGAAAATCTTATATTTTGACATTTGCTTTCATTCCAAAATTGGATGAAAAGCAAAAATAGCTACAGTATTTTTCGAACAAAAAGTTTTGAAAAATTGATTCACGAATATTGAAATTTGGAATTTTTGATTGAAAGTAAACATTTAGCTTCAAAGTGTCAAATTAAAATCAAATAAATCATGGAGCAGATCCTCAAGGAATCAATTTTGGAGCACGTAGAGGAGAGGAAAATGATCAGGAACAGTCAACATGGATTCATCAAGGGTAAGTCATGCCTGAATAACCTAATTGCCTTCTATAATGAGAAAACTGGCTCTGTGGATGATGTGTTATTCCTTGACTTTAGCAAAGCTTTTGCTATGATCTCTAACAGTATTCTTGCCAGCAAGTTAAAGAAGTATGGGCCGGATGAATGGACTATAAGGTGGATAGAAAGCTGGATAGATCGTCGGGCTCAACGGGTAGTGAACAATGGCTCCATGTCTAGTTGGCAGCCGGTATCAAGCGGAATGCCCCAAGGGTTGGTCCTGGGGCTGGTTTGGTTCAATATCTTCATTAATGATTTGGAGGATGGCATGCATTGCACCCTCGGTAAGTTTGTAGATGACACTAAACTGGGAGGAGTGGTAGATACGCTAGAGGGTAGGGATAGGATACAGAGGAACCTAGACAAATTAGAGGATTAGGCCAAAAGAAATCTGATGAAGTTCAACAAGGACAAGTGCAGAGTTCTGCACTTAGGATGGAAGAATCCCATGCATTGCGGCAGACTAGGGGCCGAGTGGCTAGGCAGTAGTTCTGCAGGAAAGGACTTAGGGGTTACAGTGGACGAGAAGATGGATATGAGTCAACAGTGTGCCCTTTAGTGTGATCAGACAGCAAATGTGAAAAATCAGGATGGGGCGGAGGGGTAATAGGAGCCCATATAAAAAAAAGCCCAAAATATCGGGACAGTCCCTATAAAACAGGACATCTGGTCCTCCTTGTTTGCCAAGAAGGCTAATGGCATTTTGGGATGTATAAGTAGGAGCATTGCCAGCAGATCGAGGGACGTGATCATTCCCTTCTATTCGGCATTGGTGAGGCCTTATCTGGAGTACTGTGTCCAGGTTTGGGCCCCACACTACAAGAAGGATGTGGAAAAATTGGAAAGAGTCCAATGGAGGGCAACAAAAATGATTAGGGGTATGGAGCACATGACTTACGAGGAGAGGCTGAGGGAACTGGGATTATTTAGTTTGCAGAAGAGAAGAATGAGGGGGGATCTGATAGCTGCTTTCAACTACCGGAAAGGGGGTTCCAAAGAGGATGGATCTAGACTGTTCTCAGTGGTACCGGATGACAGAACAAGGAGTAATGGTCTCAAGTTGCAGTGGGGGAGGATTAAATTGGAGATTAGAAAAACTTTTTCACTAGGAGGGTGGTGAAGCACTGGAGTGGGTTATCTAGGGAGATGGTGGGATCTCCTTCCTTAGAGGTTTTTAAGGTCAGGCTTGACCATGCCCTGGCTGGGATGATTTAGTTGGGGATCGGTCCTGCTTTGAGTGGGGGGTTGGACTAGATGACCTAATGAGGTTCCTTCCAGCCCTGATATTCTATGATTCTATGACTTCATTTGAAAATGTGAATGTTTTTTGGCACTTTTAAATATCAACATACTGACATTTCAAAATGTCAGTTAGAAATTAAATGTTTGAGTTCCAAAATGCCAATCTAGAACTAAATATTTCACTTTGAAATTTTTCTTCAAAAAATTGGAAAAGTTTATTGAAATTGATGTTTTTGAAGGAAAAGTACTGCTCTAGATGAAACCCCATATTTCCTTGGGTAAAAATTTCGGCTGAAAAATGTTACCTGCTCTTTAGTTTACAGATACCATATATACAGTTATATAAAATTCCAATGACAGAATGACAACAGGAGAAATGGGGACAATCTGTGTAAAAGATCAGTAGCTTAGAGGGGATGGGGAAGTTGAGCATGGAAGTGAGGGAACCTAACAGAAGCTGGAGGGAGATGGGCGGTTGTGTTGGGATGGGTTTGTGAAGAGGCAAGTGTTTAGGGTTACCATATTTTAAGTGTCCAAAAAGAGGACACTCCACGGGCCCTGGCCCTGCCCCAACTCCGCCCCTTCCCCGCCCCTTCCCGGCCCCGCCCCAACTCCGCCCCCTCCCCTGGACGCTTCGCCCCCCCCGCCCCTCCTCCTTCCCTGCTTCCCGTGAACATTTGATTCGCGGGAAGCCTGAAGCAGCAGGCAAGCGTGGGGCGGGGGGGGCGCGGCCGAGCAGCTCCCTTTGGCAGCCGACTGGCCTAGGCCAAGAGGCTCTGGCCCCGGCGT